CAGACAAAATCTAACTCAAAACGGATCAAGATCTAAATGAAAGAGGTAAAACTGTAAAACTCTGAGAAGAAAGGGGATGTCTTCATGATGTTGAATTTGGCAATAGTTTCTATGCTAGAATATCAAAAGCACAGGCAAAAGAAAAAATAAATTAGAATTCATCAAAGTTGAAGCGCTTTGTGCATCAGAGGACACCATCAAGAAAATGCAAAGGTAACCCACAAAATGGGAGAAAACATTTGCAAAACACATATCTGATAAGGGATTAATATCCAGAATATATAAAGAGGACCTGAAATTCAAGAGCCAAACCACCCACTCAATTTAGAAACGGGCAAAAGACTTGAACAGACTTCTTGCCAGAGAAGACAGTGAGCACATGAAATGTTGCTCAGCATCATTAGTCACGAGGATAATGCAAATCAAATGACAGGGCGATACCGCCTCAGGCCCATCAGGCTGTTACTAAAGCAATGGAAGATACCAAGCCTTGTCAAGGACGTGGAGAAATGGGAGCCCTCAGGCACTGCTGGTGGGAACGCCGTGTGGCAGGTCCTTAAAAGGTTCAACGTAGAACGCTCATGGCAGCATTATTCACAACAGCCGCAAGCCGGAGACAAGCCAGGTGGCCGTCAACGGAAGGGGTAAAACGTGGCGTACGGATGCCACGGACTGCTACCCAGCCACAGAACAGAATGAAGTCTGGCAAGCTCCTACACAGATGGACCTCAAAGACGTGAGGCTGAGTGCAAGGAGGTCACAGAAGGACACACCGCGTGACTCCGCGTGCACGAGGTCCCCAGAGCGGTCAGATCCACAGGGAGAGCAGAGTGGGCGGCGCCAGGGGACGGCACGGGGGGCTGGGGTTTCAAGGGGACAGAGCTTCCGTTCGGGGAGATGAGAACGTTCTAGACCCGGACGGTGGAGGCCGCACAGCAACGTGAGTGTGCTCAATGCCACGGAACCGCACACTTAAAATGACGAAGACGATACATTTTATGTATGTTTTACCACTTAAAAAAAAAAAAAGATGGCAAAGGAGATGGAAGAACTTGGGCCTCTAATGGCAGAGTGATGGTCTGCAGCCTTCCGGACACCTGAGAAAGAAGCCACCCCTCGTGTCCACCCGCCATCTGGCGTCTGTCACTGCAGTCGTGTGCACTCTGAAGTCACATGCAGGGAGACCGCCGCCCCCTCCCGCCTGGCTTCCAGTGCACCCACTACTATTGCTCTGCAGGCCCTCAACCTCCCCAGCTGGGTGTCTCTGCGCGGGGCTTGCTCTGGGCGTCCAGAGGGTTTCAGCGGCATCCCTGGCTGCTGCCCAGTACACGTCGGTGGCGCCGCCCCCCAGAGGGACCACCTAAATTGTCTCTGCTCTTTGCCAGATGCCCTGCAAGTGCATATCACCCCTGGTTGAGAACCAGTCCCCCCACTTTTCTTTTTTTTTTAAGATTTTATTGGTTTGCCAGAGAGAGAGAGAGCACACACACAAGCAGGGGGAGCCATAGGCAGAGGGAGAAGCCGGCTCCCGGCTCAATCCCAGGACCCTGGGATCATGACCTGAGCCGAAAGCAGATGCTTAACCCACTGAGGCCCCCAGGCATCCCAAGAACCACAGGCCTATGGAAGCTAAGCCCACTAATCTGCTCACTGTTCTCCATGCACCCTGCTGGTCCCCTCCTCCCAGCTCTGCTGCGACCCCACAGGTTTTCCCAATTCCTGCCGGTCCTGCACCGCTCACACCAAATCCTCCATCAGTGGGGGGATGGTGGGGACCTCAATCACCACCCCAGGCCCCAGATGGCTTCCCTTGCTCCAGCCATCATAGCACTTGGCCTGTTGCCCTCTGTGTTTTGCTCCTGGAGGCTAAGTTCCTGGTTCCAGGGGGCAGGGATCCTTAATACGTGTAAGGGTCCAATCTAAACATTTCAGTGAACACATTAGATTGTTTGTCCCTGGAGCTCAGCAGCAGTCAGGCTGTCTGGTCCTTTGTGCCTGCTTCCTGGTGGGGCAGCCACCAGCATCTTGGGAAGCTGCTTCTCCAGGCCCTGCTGAGGTGGGGAAGGGCCTGCAGGCCCACGGAGAGGGTGACCCAGGCCTGAGGCCAGCAGAGGCCAGCAGTGTGCTTTATAGAACCCCTCCATGGACAATACCCCAGATCCCTCCCAAGAGCTCCCTGGAAGGGGCAGGTGGGCAGCCCAGACAATCTGCCCCTCACTGCTGCCTCCATAAGCACCTCTGGCCCACCTCCAGGACCCAGAAAAGATCTTAGATCTCAATACGCCAAGATGTGGGCAGGGCTAAGAACACAGAGGCCAAACCACCAAGCGGGGGCTGTCAGGATTGGAGCCAGGTGTCCAGGCCGAGTGGGGACAAGGTCTGGAAAGCTGAACCTAGATGCTTATTCTCTACTTGACAAGCATCATGTGGCTCCTCACGTTCTTACCAGCCCTGTGAGCTGGGTGGGTGTCTTCACGGGGGCCCCCGTCCATGGTGGTCCCTCTGGGCACCACCGCCTCTGGGGCCGATGAGTTGGATGGTGAGCTGTAAGACCCAAAGGAGCCCCGAGAAGGGGTCTGAAGCAGGGTCCGCAGGTGGGGGAACCGCCCCTGTCCAGGGAGCAGATGAGTGTAGGAAGGGATGGGCCTCTGACTTCACCAGAAACCAACAGCCTTGGCAACCAGCCCCAGCCTGGGGCAGCCCCACAGTCTCCACCCTGAGTCACAGAGGGGACATGTAGGGTGCGTCCAGGCTGTTGTGTCAGGGGGCAGAGTCCAGCCTGGTCAGTACATCCTTTTCGTCTTTCTCCTTTTAACTGGAAATAGTGAAGAGCCTCAGGCACCAGGGATAGTCTCAGGGAAGAGCCTGATCCTTTTAGGAGTCCCGGCTGGGCAGCAAGGCACTTGGCCCACCCCTGCCTCCAGGCCTCGCTGGCCAGGGTGGACAGCAGGCCAGAGACGAGCTTCGTGGGGTCAAGGCAGTATTAGGGACACACAGAAGAGGGTGCCCAGCCCAGGCGGGGAGTCAGCAAGACTCGCTGGAGGAGGATGCACCCCAGCAAGAGCGCGTCCAAATTTAGCCAAGATCACCCATCCAGATATCGATCTCAGATAAATAATGAATAATTTCTTAGTGTATCACAAATACTGCGTGGGACACTCTTCATCATTGCACCTCACAGATGAAGATGAGGCTCAGAGAAGGGATGGGACAGGGCTGAGCGGAGCTCGCTCACCTAGGGTTCCAGAGCGGCGTCCACTCTGTCCCTCAGCCGGGTAGCACTGGCCTGGCTTGCTTTTTGCGAGCCTCAGCTTCCCAATCTGTAGAATGGGATGGGTGTGTAGGCATTCAGGCCTCCCCTGGCAGGGGCCCTGCCCAGGACCTGCTGGCTGGGCCCTGCACGTCCCTCAGCCGGGTAGCACTGGCCTGGCTTGCTTTTTGCGAGCCTCAGCTTCCCAATCTGTAGAATGGGATGGGTGTGTAGGCATTCAGGCCTCCCCTGGCAGGGGCCCTGCCCAGGACCTGCTGGCTGGGCCCTGCATGTCCCTCAGCCGGGTAGCACTGGCCTGGCTTGCTTTTTGCGAGCCTCAGCTTCCCAATCCGTAGAATGGGATGGGTGTGTAGGCATTCAGGCCTCTATGACTGGGGCGTGCACCCAAGTTTGAGGGGCACCCTGCGTAGAGCCACCCCCGGGGGCGTGGAGGCTGCCTGACCTCATGGCGTGTCCCAACACAGGATCGCTGGCGTGGGTCACTTTACCCTGCTCACAGATGAGACCCCGGGAGGAAGCCGAGACAAGTGAGGGGCCTCCCTGGTAGCCAGGCTGGGCTAGCACACTGAAGAGCTGCCAGTGTGGCTGCTCCTGGCCTGGCCGCAGGGACTGTGGGTGGGCTGGTGGGCGAACAGACACCGAGCTGCTATCCTGAGAGGGTGTCTGCCCAGCAGTGCCTGGCCCCCTCCCCAGAGGATGAGCACTGCTGTTTTCCAGGTACGCACGGCTGTGATCCACTCCACAGACCGGTGAGGCAGGACATCCTGACGCTTCCTCCCGGTGGCGGGGCGGAGAGAGAAGGCAAGCATTTGGCAGGGGCACCTCCCTGCACGAATTCCACCTGATTGCCTGCCACTGCGCCCGGAGACCAAAGTGCCTGGAGCAGCAAGCGCCCCTGAGTCACCGATCCTCAGCAGATGCGGGGGTTAGCTAGTCGGAAATGCGCCTGAGCGCTTTGTGCTCTGGGTCCAGAGATTTCTAGGAACACGGTGTTCTCCCACCCATTATCACCGCGGCTGCTGGCCTATCTGATCAGGGTGCTCCTCTGCTTGAAAACCACCTGCCCATTTCTTTATCTTCAGGCTCCTCGCCTGCCTCACAGAGCAGGTGGGACGGTCCACTGGGGACTGAAGCCCAGCAGCCTGGTGGCTCCAGACCTGCTGAAACCCCAGTGGCCCACCCGGGCTCGCTAGCAGAGCCCCGCCTGAGCAACCCCGTCGCAAACCGCGGCTACCCAGAAACCCTCAAACACAACAGGAGCGGGAAATGTTGAGACCTCACCCACCCCAAGCACTATCACATCTGAACAGCAAGCGGGAAGCACAGCCTCCTCACAAAGCCCATAAGCAGGTGACGGTAATGCCAGGACTCCGCACCCTCGAGACCCCTGCCTTCTGACACCAGGACCTGCTGGCTCAGTGAGGAGCATCCAACAGTGAGTGCACGCATCCCACCACCACGCCCGCGCATACAGAACACACAAATAAGCCTACAGGGAGCGGGGCGGGAACACGGGAGCCGGTCCCCCTGGCTCGGGGGCGGAGACGCCTGGATTTGGACGTGGAGGTATGGGGCTCCTAGCTGGGAAGGCTCACCGTCTCCGAGCTTCGGGGGAGGGAGGCTGGTCAGTCTGGCCAGCAGCGGGCTGGGCCAGAGACCCAGATGAGCTGCGGCAGCGCCTCACAGCTGACCTCTGCTGGCCAGGCGGCCGCCACACACACCAGGCAGAAAGCGTCCGGGAAGCGGTTTAATTCCCAAGGTTCCCAGGGACGGGTATCCCTTCCTACTTGCAGGAAGCCCGAGTCAGGACGGCTGGAGTCTATTAGGCGAGCAGGGCAGCACCGCGGGCCTGCTCCGGAATCCAGTCCAGCCAGGGTGGGAAGCTGGCGCCCGCACCCTGCTCGACGCTCAGCCTGGGAAGGGGCCCAGGGAGCCAGCGAGGCTGTGCAGACGACCTCAGGAAGGCACGGCTGTGGGTCCGCTTCTCTCTTTTCTGTGCCTGAAGCTGCGCAGGGGATTCTGGGTCTTGGCCTTCTGCAGGGCAAAGCTGCAGGTTAGCTGGGCGCACCAGACGTCTGTCTGCCCAGACTCAGGGAGGTGAGAGGTGTGGCCCCTTGGCAAGGCCCTGCAGGCCACGAGTCGAGGACAAAAGCTGCCGCTGTCACCATCTGTGGCCCACTAAACACCCACGTTCTTCCTCCCACCGCCTGGAGCAGAGCCTGGGCAGTGAGGACAGAAAAGCAGACCATCCTGTGTTCCTGAAGCTGCCTGGGGGTGGCCCAGGGAGTGTCCGGCCCCCACGACTTTGCCCCTCAACCCCAGAGTCTGGGGCCAGGCCTTAGGGCCTTTCCCCTCCCTCCCAAAGGCAAGGTGCGTGCGCACCCTGATGACAACGGATGAGGGAGGAGGGGAGCCCCGCAGCACGGCCAAGGCCCTGGGGTACATACCTTGACCTTCTTGGAGGCCAGCTTCTTCCGCTTCTTGTGAGGGTGGATGAGGCCGCGCAGAGCAGGGGGAACTAGAAAAGGCACAGACTCAGCAGCTGCCACAACCCCTCGCAGCCCACCTCCTCCAGCTGCGCCCAGCAAGCCGCCCCAATTCTGACCAGGGTCCGGCACACCAGCCCCACGTCCGACGTGCCCAGGGCTGCAAGAATGGCCACCGCCGGGGCGAGAGCGCAGAAACTCGGGCTAAGTCGCTCCCCTGCTGCCTTTAAGCCGGCTGCAGTAAGCACGCGGCAGAAAAGAAACATACGCATGTTTCTAAGAAAAAAAAACACTGCTAAAATACAAGAGTCTCGGGGCTTCTGGGTGGCTCAGTTGGTTAAGCGTCTGCCTTCGGCTCAGGTCATGATCCTGGAGTCCCGGGATCGAGTCCCGCATCGGGCTCCCTGCT